GTAATGTTGACATTGTGGTCATGCTTTGGATGTGTGTGCGAGCTGTGTGTAATTAGCAGCGTGCTTGTACCACAAGGACCTGGGCTCCCTGCAGTGCCAGCTTAGCACAGCTGTGAGTGAAGGGGAATGGGTGCAAATGAGTGCAAAGGGAAAGTCCTTGGCTCCGACCCACTTCCCATGGGAAGGAGTGCTCACTTGCGTGTTTTTGCATGCACAGTTTGTCCTAGATGTTTATTTTTCCCCAGAAAAAGAGATACTTTCCACCTGTGTGAGGAGGTGATCTGTGGATGCCAGTGGTGTGCTGGTGGATGTCCTGTGTCTCTGGGAAGTGTCAGTGAAGTGCCAGTGCTCGTACAGGTCAGCCTTTCTCCTGCAGGTCCCTCCTGCCCTGCACCTTGCTGCTCTCCCTGCACAGGTGCTGGTGCAGGTGTCCTTTGAGGAAGGGCAGCTGAGTACCAGAGTGAAAGAATATTTAACTGCATTTTTCTCTCCTGGAACTAAAGAATTAGTGGTCACAAGTGGGAGATGAGTGAGTTGAAAATACCTTGTTGCTTTCTAGCATTAGGACTGCAGCCTGAGCAGTGCTTTCAAACTGGGAGAAACAAGATGTTGCCCGGTGGCGACCAAGTTTCCTGAAACCTGTCTGCAAGTTCCGGCTGAATTTGAGGCAGCTATTATGTTACAAAGTTGGTCAAATCTGGAAGCTTCTGCTGGCATGAGTGTTTCCTAGCACAAGCTTCAATATCCTGACAAACACCAAGCCTCTGCTATGAAATCTCTTCTGAAATAAAGAGGGAACAGCTTGAGAGCCCTTTCATCCTGGAATACAGTCAGCAGGGTGTGTTTGGCCCCAAATGGTTAGCTTTACAAAAATAGTGGTAACTTGAAAAATTCAGTTGTTTCCTGGTATCTGCATGCTTTTAATACTTATTTCTATTGTACACTTCCATAAGGAGCTTGGCAGATTTTAATTTCTAGAAATACAGGTCTGTAAAAGGAAGGGTATCTCATCAGAGAAGTGTCTGGAATGTATCGAGGATAATAAGGATTTAGATTGCTATGTCTGGCAGTTTGTTTTGACTTGTAACCTGTGTGAGTAGCAAATTTTATATTACCTCAAAATATTCTTGGATAGCAACATTTTAAAGTATTTTTTTACTGATAAGTTTTGTGTATTTCAAGACATTCAAGTTTTTGTAGAAAGTTGAAATATTTGAGGAATTCATTTGAAAGGAAGGTAGGTCTTTGCAGTCCTAAGTGTTTTGTTGGAATCCAAAATAATGAATAAAAAAGATAAATGTTTTAAAACTTCATGTTGGAATAAGACCAGGCAACTCCTGCCAGTGTGTTTTAAGTTCAATGCTATTATTATTTTTTCACTAAATAATAATTAGATATATGCCATTTAAAGCATTGTACACTTATTTCCTTCATCAGTTGTATGGTAGAAGCGACTGAAAATATTTATTGAGTTCTTTAAATATAATAGATACATTTCTGATTTTTGTTCCATAATAGCCTGTGAACTTTAGAAAAAAAAGGAGTATAACTGATTGCAAGTATGACATTTTTAATTATAGAGAAGGCTTCCACTTCTAAAAATATTTTTCAAATCTTAAAATATAAAGTATTATATTTCTTGGTGGCAGCATGCCTGTTTATGTCCAGGGCTTCCAGGTTTATTGTTACCATGCCCCAGACTGCTGAACTGTTTCTGCTTGGGGTTCTATTTCATTCTTCCTTTATCATGGTTTTTCTTGGAAGAAAGTTGACTTCTGCAGTTGACTTCTTCTGAGTGGTCATGGATCTAAGAGACTGCAAGGGGGGACGGACATTTGGGGTGTTTTTATTTTTTTCAGGTGTGTTCATTTTGTATTCAAAATGCGCTTGATAGTAAGTGCAGATCTATTTTATCTTACTTCTATGTCACTAAAATAAACTGTTTAAGAAAACTATTAATGAAGCTTCGCTGACTTAATCTGGGTTTAAAATTAATGTCATTCCTTTAACTCCTTAGTTAGTGGATGGGAAGGCAAAGGGTGCCAAGAATGCTTTGCAGTTGGCAGAGCAACCAAACGTTTTTAAATTTGCTTATGCCCCAGCAAGTCTCTGTAAATACAACTTAAGTGAGCTTATTTCTGAAGTAAACTTAACAAATGTCATTTCACTGGATAACAAAGCACAGAAAAAGTCATAAATCTGTGTGCTGTGCACAGTTATGAGAACATGTACTCCTTTTTCTGATTCTAAATTAGCCCCTTCATACTTAATTTAACTTGAAGACAATGTTTCCATTATATCAGATTTTTTTTCTGTTTTGAAAACTCCAAATGGAAATTTTTAGAAATGTGAGAATTTCCCCAAAGCATTTAAAGAGCTCTCGGAGTGGTTTTGCCATAAGATGAACAAGTTCAATCAATTTTTGTATTCTCATTGCACTGGTTGGTGCACATAAAACTAAGGATATGAATAATGGTGAAGGGGAAAATTGAATTTTTAGTAACTAATTTAATTATTTGAAGTAATTCCAGACAGACTCTGTCATTCTGATCATTGTGTGATTATTACTTCAGAAAAAAATTTAGTGCATTTTAAAGTTATGTCAAAAAAAGCTGTCCTCTGTGTTTTTTGCAAGGGAGGGTGCCTTTGAAAATTCCCTCCTCACACACACACACACACACAGCCTCACCAGACTCCCCCTCTTCCCCCCACCCCCTTTTTTTTTTCTGCAAGACAATTCTCATGCACTATTTGTCTTGATCCTTTTGATTTGCAGATAAAGGGTAGGAGCAACTGGTGTTTTCTTCATGAGCACGAAATTTTGCAAGACCTTTGGTGGTGTTTAGTAGCCAGATTCAGCCTGAGTCTCACTGCTGTCTGTCTTCCTAATTGTAGCACTTAAAAAGAGCTTTTGTCTCTGTGTTGTTGTGACATAACACAAAGAATTGTGGAAAATAGGTGTTTTCAAAACAGGAGTTTGTCTTTTTTTTGGTGTTACATAATCTGTATTTATCTGCAGTTCTGATCAGCTCTTAAGTTGGAGCAAAAAGCCCCTATCCTCTTTTTTTTTTTTTTTTTTTTGTAATTAAAATACTTTTTCCATCAATTGCAATAGTATGTCCTTGATATTAAAAGTTTAAGGAGAATATTAAATATGAGATAGAGGGTATCTTTAAATTTAAAAGGCTAAATTTTATGCCTGCAGAATTAAGCAAATGTAGAAGTAATGCAAAGCTGAAATACAGTTTTAGAACTTTCTAAACTGAGAATGTTTGTTTGTCGTCTGTATACTCTTTCTGACAGACAATGTATTCTTTCTTTTTTTGTCTCTTTTTGTAATCTTAACCTGCTGTCCCATTAGCGATGTGATTATGGAATCTTTCCAGGCTGTAGTGCCCATTTATCAGGTTCTGTGTCTTATTTATCTATGATGCAAAGTAAATGTTTTGAAATTAATAAAGAGGGGCAGTGTTAACAGCCATAACAGAAAAAAAAATTAGGTGGCACGCCCAATTTAAATTTTTTTTACTAATGTTGAAAAGACATTTTCCCCTCTTTTCTTTCTTTTCCCTACTACCACAGTCAAGCAACAAATATTACAGTTTAGTCAGTTGGATGCTGAATCAGGAAGAATGCCATGTTTGTCTTTAATCACTTGGAAGAGCTCTGAAGAATTTCTTGCATCTTTCAGGAAAAGAGGAATTGCTAATGGACAAAGCAAAAATGAGAAGCCTGACTTCATACAAAAGAATTTTTGAAAGGAGTTCATCAAAATTAAATTAAATATCCTGCTGCCTCAGCCATAACACATGACAATAAATGCAGGATAATCCGGGTTTTTTGTTCTGTACTATTTTTGCAATTAGTTCACTTTTTCTCCAGCAGAGAGGCTGCGTGAAAGGTCTTGTTATTTGTGGCTGTGGTAAAATGTGCTGGCTCAGCCTGCCTGAAGAAACAGAAGCCTTGGCAGGAATGCTGATTACCATGACAATCTAAGCAATCTAGAGCTTTGGGGTGTTGTGGGTTTTACCATAAAGATAAAAAATGTGTTCTGGATGGTAGGATAGCTGATGACATCATCATGATGCAGCAGGTCCAATCATTTTTGCAAGACTTATTTTTCATTTTGTGTTACCTGAGGATGGAGGGGGGGAAACTTATCACCTTCAGGTAAATTTTTGTGACATGCTTATGTATTGACACCTTTGCCTTTTTTAGGATATTGTTTTATGCTGTAGGTACATGAAGGGATTTACATTTTCATGGGATTTTCCCAGTAGTATGGGGTTCTGTGTACTTCTTCCTGTTCCCTCTCCCCAGCCCCTTGTACAGTGCCAAATCTGTACTACAGTATCTTCACAAGCAAAGAGGAAAAAAACCCAAACCCACCCTTCCTATCCATATTAGGGTGTCATTATTTCAGCCATTACTGCCTCAAAGGTTCCACACCCTCCCTCCACCAGAATGCGTGTGTGTGGGGTAATAGGGCTAATAGCATGTTGCATGGTTCAAAACTATCTCAGATTGGAGTAGGAAAACAAATCTGCTGGTCTCTGTTGGAGTGTGTGAACTAAGTGTGATTGCCACTGGTATTTGGACATTTTGGGAAAAATAAGGAGTTTCAGTCAGAAAGGAAAAATGACTTAAAGTGTTAAAGTTGCAAAGTCTCTTTGCAAATAAATTAATCTGTGAAGTTTTCTTGTTCAAAAATCGGCTGTTTAAGTGTTTTTCTAAGAATCTTTTGGCTCATTATGGCAAAAAGCAAGAGTATTTGCATTATTACTTGTTTATTTCTTTCCAAATAATTTCCTTGTTTGCACTAAAGGATTTATTGAAAACTGCATGAGGTTATCAAGATATCAATCAACTTTTGTTCTGTTCCAGTAACCTAAAAAATCTAAGGGTTCATTGTGTAAGCTTCATTTGTAATGTGAAGCATTTACTGGTCCCATGCAATCATTGTTAAGAGCAAACAAACAAAGGTGTGTCTTTCTGCACAGTTCTAGAGCGTGAACCAAAAGCCGCGGGCCCGAATGATGAAGAGGAGGATGAGGGAGAACAGTTTGATTTTGATAGTGGAGATGAGATACCAGAAGCAGACAGGCAAGCCCTTGTACCACCTATTCCTGGTCCTGGAAATTACATAGAGCACCAAGAGGCTGGTGCTGCAGGTAAGTCAGTCTGTTGGTCTGTACCTCCACTGGGCTACATAGTCAAGAGTGATCATAGGATGCCTTTTCCTGACAGCGCAATAACAGTACTTTATTTTAAAGTTTTCCATGGTGTTATGACCCACCTCTGAGGGTAACTCATGTTCTTCTTAATGGTTCTCTTGGAGCAGATTAGAGTGGAGCAACACTGAAAAATTGGTGTCTATAAATATACACATGTTGGGTTTATTTTGGAACTATTTGGTTGTAATGGAAAGCATATATGTAACCATTTTGGTTATTGTTATATAAAGTAATATGGCAATATCAAAGCATAAAATACCACCTGCTTAAGGAAACATATAAGGCAAAAGGAAGGAAGGAAGAAAGAGAAAGAAAGGGAAAGAGTAGGAAGATACATAGTCACCGGCCATGGATCTATGATGACACTTAACTGAAGTGACAATTTGAAAGTCTTTATTTGTCAGAGGTGGGGGAAAAAGCCCATAAAATACAAAGTCTGCTGAGTTAATACACCCTCAGGTTCAGTGGGAGTATCTAAGCACCTCCTCTGCGAGGGCAAAGTTCTACGCTGTCTTTTGATCAGAAATGAGTGCATCAGAAATGAGTAGGTGGCACTTCAGGGGTAGTTGAGAGTTTATGAACTCTTCTAAGACAGCTGCCTCTAATGTCAGCAAGCCTTGTGTGAATGTGACCTTCCCTGTGAGGAAGGTGTGTGGGTAAGGGAGGGCAGTTTGGCCATGATTTGGGTGGCCTCTCCCCAAGGTCTGTCTCAGAGCTCAGTTTGTAGCCTCTGGTGGTGGGAAGTTCACCCCCTCTGTCTTGGTTTGTCATTACACACACAAAAGCTCACTGTCTTCTCTTTGCGGGCTTGCAAACCTGGCCTCAGCAAAGCGCCCAGGCACATCTGAAAATGGTCAGTTTGTTTTGAGTCACAGTCCAGTCTCTCACACGTGCAAATACCATGCAAGTGTTTTGAATGTTCCTGCCAGTTACAGTCATGGTAGATCTGGCAGGGCAAGTGACCATCATATGTAGTTCCTGTGAGGTTTCCCATTAAAGTGTGATGTCCAAACCAATGCACTGGACGTAGACTGAGTGTAATGCTACAGGAAAACTGTATATCCTTGCTGGTCTTAAGGAACATTGATGACAACCAGCATGTTTAGCTGTGAAACATGCAGTTTCACAGCATGTAAGGTAAGCTGTTTCACAGCTAAACTTTCTGGTTGCTGAGCTTCAGATGTTGTGCATAAAACTAAATTGAGTTTGAATGTATGAATTTTGTTCATAAACAGAAGTTTTGCTAAATATTAAAACATTTTTTATGACAGATGCGGATGTTCCCAGTGCTGAGGCGTAGTCTGGAAATTGCTGTATTCTGCTCAAATTGTTAACCGCTGATTTTGCTTACTTTAATCCAATTTCCTTTTGTAAACAGATTCACTGTGCTTATGGCAATTAAAGATGGGTAACTCTTCAGGTACTGTGCAGTTTGACAACCTGGAACTTAAACACCATCTTTCCCTGAGCATCTGTTGCTTGCTCACCCTTATTGTGAAGTCGTGCTTACAGCTTAAAATGATTTGATCACTTGGGATACAGTTCTGCAGTTCCCTTCAGAGGACTCTGTGGTTCTGCTGTACCTCAGCTGGTCTCAAAAAATACTGGGAACTTTCTATAACAGAAAACAATACATTTTCAAAGAGGAAAACTTGTGAAGTTATTTTATTCCTCCCTTTCTTAACCGAGCATTTTCAGGACTGCTCTTTGAGGAATGTCCCTCCATGACTTTTCTTGTCCTCATGACTACGCCTAAAATATTTCTTGTGTTTGTGTTTGTAAGATTCAAATTAGTCTAGAATCCAGATTTTAACTTTTATGATTTAAGACTATTTTGACTCATGCTTATGTCAGTCAAGTTACTGTTTTTCCATAGGTATCTTTGTAACTCATCTTGTTTTGCTCTTGTTGCATTCCTCATTGGTAAAATGGGGAGCTTGGCACTACTGTGTGGGAATTTTGAGTCATAGGTTGTAAGCAGCTTGTATAGTAAAGATCAGGTCAGTGTTTAGCATACTTGCAAAGAGCTATTAGAGTGGCTTGAACAGGTATGAAAACTAAAACTTTGTATTTTTATTTAATCTTTCAACTAAAGGAGCTGAAAATTTAGAAAACACTGAGAAGCTGCAAACATCAGAACCTGCTGCAGAAGGCACTCCAGCCAAAGTAAATCCCTACTCAGTCATAAATATTTCCCCAATCCAAGATAAGGATCCATCCTCATCACCAGAACCAAGCCCCCAAGATGAATGTGCAAGTCCCAACCTGTCTGGTGGATATTCCGTTCCTGTGCCTTGTGGATATGCTGTGCCATCCAACTTACCTTTGATCCTGCCAGCATACTGCAGTCCTGTCATCATACGCAGTGTTTCTGTAGATGAAGAAGGTACTGTATTTACACACCTTACTTTATTTGAAAGGGAATCCTTGGTTAACCTCAGGTGCCTTTCCTGTATAGCACTCACCCTGGGTGAGTATGATTAATGCTAATTCCTTTTTAATGTAATGAAATAATTTCCAGATCCAGAGTTCAGTGTTCAAGCCAAATGGTTTCTTCTCATACTATTTATTGTTTTTCCTAGATCCTGGCAAAATTCCTTCCATTTTTCCCTTTTCTATATGCATTTCTGTTAGTTTAATTTCCAGTTCTTCTGGATTTAGAGTTGCTGTGGGATTTTTCCCTTTGTGATTTGATGAATTCTTTGTCTTCTAGTACAATTTTAAGACAGAAGAGAAAAATAGAAAGGGAAATAAGTATGGATTATTACAGAAAGAGGAGATTGATTTTGTAACCAGAGTTGAGCAAGTTGACAGCTTAATGTCAAGACAGAAAAAAAAGAAAGGTCCTCATGTCCTGCCTTTTCCTTTTTGTATTTTGAATATACTTTTCTTTAGCTGAGCAGTAGCTATAATTCTTCTATAATTCCAGCCTTTATTCCAGCCTTTGCTTTTTACCACTATTAGGGATACTGTCGAGTAAAAACAAATGTTTGTGTGGTCCTTATTACCTGTAGAGGAATGTATGTTTGAGAGATAAAATTAAATGCATCATGCATTGTAATTTTCTCTTAACAGTTCTTGTAACAAATGGCTGTGTCCTTGAATTACTTAGCTTTCAAAAATGCATAGTGGGAACGAACTTTTTTTTTTTTATAAGCACATGTAAGAATAAAACTATTGCAAGGAAGAAGATTATTCATTAGCAGTGATCTAGTAAAATCAGTTCCTTATGCTAAAATGTGCCATTTGACCCAAACTGACATGTTATTGCAAGCACTTTTTTTTTTCTTGACAGGTACACCATCAGCAACTGAAGAATGTCATTATAATTCTGTAAACTTGGAGGACCCTCAGAATAGGTGATTGCCAGTTCATCATGTTGTAATGATTTGTAAAGCCTTAATTCCTAAGAAAGCTTGCATTTGATAAGTATTTTATTTTCCTTGTGTTTTGCTTCCATGTTTGTTGGTTTGGTTTTTTTCACTTTCTTACTCCTGTAATTTTGATTGTGTATTAAAATCAGCACTGGTGTGTGTAACTGTGCATGACATTTTTAAAGACACTGAGTTGAATTTTTCTAGAGTGATGGCAATGTCAGCTGCAACAGATTGTTGGAGGTTTGGTCTAGCCTGCTACTTTCAGCAGGACCACTTCCAATACTCCATCAGATCAATGGCCTTGCTGGCTGAGCCTTCAACCCTCCAAAGATGGAGGTGCTGCCCCTTCCCCAAGCAGTCTTCTCTGCTGTACTACCTTCCCTTCCCCACTTTTCCCCCCTACCTCCCCAAATGTCCAAACCAAATCTCCCAGTGGGCAGTCTATTGACCATTCCCCCTTTGTCTGGCATTAAAAAAAAAAGGCCCCAAAACCCCCCAAACAAGCCCAAACAAAAAAATAACCCCGATTGCATCACCTTTATAGTTCTCTTGGATAGTTGTAGCTACTCTTGGATCACCCCATAACATCCTTTCCACTAAATAATCTCTGTCTCTTATCTCCTTCCTTGTAAACCCTGTGCCTTAGTCCTTGGCTTCAGTTTCTCTACATCTCTCTAGAGGTAGCTTCAGCTTCTCCACAGCTCTCTAGCAGGGGAATGTTGGGAAGCCAAAAGTGGACATGCTGCTGTGGCAGCCTCACCAGCACCAGGTGAAGCAGGGGGAGCAGCTTTGCCTGATGGCTCCTGATGTAACCCCAGAATGTCTTTAGTCCTAGTTACCATGGAAAAGAAGCTCTCACGTCACTGTTTCTGAGAGAATTTCCTGTGTTCTGGTAGATGAACTCAAAAGCAGAGTATTTTTTAAGATTGTAAAGAAAGTGTTTTCAATTTTCTGACTTAAAATTGTCAGACTATTAACTAGAATAGCTAGTTATTCATCACCTAACTACATACTGAAGCAACATTTTTGACTAATTAGCAGCCTTGGAGTGGAAACTAGAAGGCAGAAATATATTTACTGTCTTGTCTTCTTGGATGTTTAAAAATGTTGTGGTGTAACTTTTAGTTCTTTTATTTTATGGCCTCTTTTTCAAGTGAAGATAACCAGAGCAAGAAAGAGGATGATGCCCTGGCCAAATGGGTTGCAGATCCTGCAAATACAGCATGGATGGAAAGTAAGTACCAGTGAGCACTGAAGTATAACTGTGGAAGGTGGTCAGTTTTAAGCTGTGATCAGCAGTATGTGTGTGTCTATGTGCACAGGCAGATTTTATGTGAATGTCCATGTTCACTTTACTGTGTGTTTTCAGATAGATTCCAGAACCAAGCTGTACCAATTAGAATATTCAACAGTGCAATAAAATTGTATTTTAGAATAAAGTTAACATTCACTTTTCCACCTTCTGGAGTCTGTGGAATCATGTGTTATGGAAGTCAGTGGAAATAAGCTCCAGTTCAGAGTCTGATCTGCAACTGTATTTGAAATTGCTCTTCTTGTGCAGTAGTGGCAAATAAGTACTTGGAAGAGGAAAAAGGAATTGCCACTGTCTTGGTGTGTGCTGTTAATTCTTGGCTGGCAGCTGCCCAGAACAGAGATTATGTGGCTTGAGGACAGGTTATCCTGCCTGTTCTCAGCTGTTCCCACTGCGCTGGAGTTCATCTTACATATTTTGTGAAGTGACTGGAGAATTTGCGTTGTCATTCTGCCTCTTAATGTACTATGATAATGATTACATTATTTAGTTTTGGTTCTTTCTGAAAAGTCAATTTCAGCTTTTCTACAGCCATTCAGTAAAGCAATGAGCAGCCTTCAACAGGCACAGAACATATCATTCTTCTGTAAGAAGGAGGGAGAAATACTGGTTTTTGAAGTGGATTTTTGTTTTCAGGCTACCAAAGGTCATCATAAGCAATGCAGATAAAACTGAAATTTCATAAATACCATATGCTACTTTGTGCATTATTGCAATATTTGAATGATTAGATGGGCAAACAAAATGCTAGTTGAGAGAGAGTCATATCTTCATTGTATTAATAGATGCTAATATAAACAAAATTCTTTAAAGTAAGGTAGTATTATATAATAAAGTATCCAATTTCAGTTGGAGAGGACCTACAGCATTTCAACCCCCTGACCATTTCAGGGCTGACGAAAAGCTAAAGGCATGTTAAGGGCTTTGTCCAAATGCCTCTTAAACACTTGGTCCCATTCAAATTTTAAGAAGTTTCTCATTTGTTTGTTTGTTTGTTTTTTTCTGTCTTGTTTTAGACCCGGATGAGGTAATTTATGATGACGTGCCAAGAGAAGACTCAGACTCTGAGCCAGGTTTGAGGTCTTTGTAATGTTGAAAGCAATGCAAATGGAATTATGTTCATGTATACTAAACAGATACGTTTGTTAAGTGCCTAAAATATCCGTAAATCAAATTAACATTGTCTCAATAATTGGTAGGTCTTAAAAAGTTCAGAATTACACTAACGCTTAAAAGACTATCTCAGCAGGTCTCCTATACTGCTCTTCTAAGAAGCTGAATTCTACTTTGTTTTATAGATACTGTTCCAAATGTTTGAGTATTCCGCATATTAGCGAATTACAGTGTTGGGTGTTGTAGCTGTAGTGCCCTGAACAAGGTAGTTAGGAATAGGGTGTTTTAAATAGTTAAATGAGGTATGATACTGTATCATCGTCATGGTTATGGAGAGAAGCTCTTTCCTTGAAGTCCCCTTCAATATGTAAATGCTTGAAAAATGGAAGAGATGGTCCAGGGGGGGCTGTTCACCATCCTGATTGTGACTGTAAAGAAATGTTTTATTTCAGCGAAGTGGTCCGCTCCTGATTGTTGTGACCATGTTTGGAGGGGACAGAATAGATCTCAAAGTAGTTGCTGGAGTCAAGATTGTACCTATACTGGAAATGATAGAGTTAGGGCTCAAGAGGCATATTTCATTGAGTTCTTGCTCAGGTTTGTTTTGCAGTTTTTGGGTGTCGTGAAGTCTGCTTAATGATCAGTTGCTACTGACTGATTGTGTGTTTGAATGAATTGGCTTATAGGGAGCTCAGCATCTTACTCATCATAACTCTCAGAGGGTGTAGATCTTTGATACTGAAATTGTTAATGAATTAAGAAAACACTTAAGCTTTCTTGTCTTGTGGTCTTGTGAAAACCACATTAATCTTTAAAGCTGTAACAGTTTCGTTTCTTATCCTTAGTAATGTTCAGGCAAAGTATTTTACAAATTATTACTGTTATTTTTCATTTTATTATTGGAAACTATCGTGTTACATTAATGACTTGAATGCTTATATTACTGGGAGTTCCCTCAGTGCTGCTCTGAGCAGGGACATCTTTGTGCTGTTGCTGATCAGTCAGGAAACAGGTACACAAGGCCCAGGTGGCTGAGCTAGGTGGGATATGGGATATGGAGCAAAGCTCTGCTGAGCATATGGGTCAGAATCTTTAGCTTAATCCATAAGACATCAATTAAAATTTTGATTTTCATGTTGTCCCTTAAGACATTGAAAGGGGACAATGTCTTAGGAATTCTGAGGAAATAGGTAGTAAGGGAAGTTTCATGTTCGTACATTCATGATCTTGATGTTTATTATTTATATGTTTTGTCAACTATTCCAAAAAAGTTTCAGTCAGACAATCTACATTACCACATGGACAAGAGTAAATTCACCCAGTCATGGGGTAAATCCTGCCCCAACACTCACAGCACAGGAGTTAGACGTGCATTAAGTCTTGATTTATTTTGACTTACTATGATCGTTCTTTTAAATTACTCATTGTAGTAGATTGCCACTAAGATGTCTTCTTCAGTAACAATTAAGGACAGTCTTGATATGTATGGGGATTTAAAAAAAAATTTTAAAATCTGCATCTTCCAAATTAGATTAATTAAATTCTTTATAATTTTCACAGAGGATTCCAATGTTAATATTAAAATCCAGGGTTTTGATGGATGTGTAAAACATACCAACTTTTCTTCTGAGTACATATTTTTTCTCTGTTTAAATGAAACGTCAATCTTTAAAGCACAGCTGCTGTTTCCTGAATTTAATAGGAGACAGTTGTAAATGCTGTATCATAACCTCTGACACTAGGGATTCCTGACAGAAGTGTTGTACCACGACAAGTGTCTACACTTTTCCACTTGTACTGACATATTATGCTGCAGGTAAAGTGCATTCCTGTTTCCTGATAAGCAATTGGCTCTAAATTTTCCATTTTATTTTGAGTAAGTTTTATGTTCTTGACATCTGTGCCAATGGAAATGCCTGTGTCTTTAACAGGAGGTACTTTGGTCAGCTGTTGCAATATAGATTTGAAAAGGTTATGTCTTGAAAAGGTTAATACTTCAAGTTTTTAGAGTAAATTATGAGCAAGGTAGCTGCCAGGTATGCAAGACTTCCAGTGACTGGTGGTAATGAGTCATAAAACACCATTGTGGAACATGTTTCTTGCTACTTTGGTCTGACCTGTTCTGCTGGAATAGTGACATTTTCATCTGATTCTTGCCATGTTTTAGCATTTTTTAGCATATCCCTAGGGACAAATGGCAGGCTTAAAAATGGAAGGATGATGCTTCTCAGTGCAGATGTGCATTCACAGGGTTTAAACTTCCTTATGTGATTTGGACACAACAGTGTCATTTGAGTAGCACATGTTTCTAAATGTATCATGGTGTGCACCTATAACGCTGTCCTTTTTAAATGCTCTGTTTCAACAAAGACAATCCACTTTGGCTGTTTGAATATTGGATTTAATTCAGAATTTTTAATGTGCATATAGAAGGCTGTGCAATTCTTTGTAGCATATCCTGAGTAAGTTTTCTGGTGTTTGGACAAACATACATTTCAGTGTAGCTTTTTTTATTTTGGTTTAATTCTTACAGAGGAAATGATTTATGATGATGTTGAAAATGGTGAGGATGGTGGAAACAGCTCCCTGGAATATGGGTGGAGTTCAAGTGAGTTTGAAAGCTATGAAGAACAGAGTGATTCTGAGTGTAAAAATGGAATTCCCAGCTCCTTTTTGCGAGGCAACCACAAGAGACATGTATGTATCCTGCAGTGCTACTCAGTCACTGAGATTGTCCTGGTTTCTAACACTTCCCTTTCTCACTTGTACTTCTTTTTTTCTTCAATTCAGTTTCAAATGCCAACAGCATCTTTTTAAAGGAGATGAGAATCAGTGTGGAAGTGACAGTATATAACAAAATGTAGCAGGGAAAAGAAGATGTGAAAATATTAAACAGAAGCTTATTACAAAAAAGATAAAACTCAAATTGGATAAAAATGAAATTAAAATTGAGTTTGTTTTTGCTTATGGGCAGTTCCTTACCTTCTCTTCTTTTGCAGTTGCTGGATTTGTATAAGTGGTAAATAAGTGTGGAAAATAACATGAAAAATAAATGGGGACAAGCCTGATAAGAATTGGTGGTTTGGGATCTTTAGGTGCTCAAAAGTCACAAAACTCTTCACCAGTGTTCCCTAGCTTTCTGTCTTAGATCTGCCTCAGTTTGCTTGTTTGAAAGTGACTGAGCTTAAAAAACTTCTGAAAGTAAAAGATTTTTATAATGAAAGAGAGTTCTACCTGTTAGAAGAGAAGAGAGGTGGCACGATTAAAGTGATCCCTCTGTGACACTTCTGAGATCTCGTACCTTTGGCTCCATCTGTCCTGCAGGAGGCAGGAAGGCACAGGTGACACAGTGCCTGTCCTCACTGCACCTCTCCCATTGCACAGGGAGAGGCCCTGGGCTCTTGCCTTCTCTTTGCCTTGGCTCTTCTTCTGCCCTTGAGTACCCTCTCTGTGGGAGGCTCCCCAGTGTCTGTTGACTGGGGACAGACCCCCAAGAGCCACTTGGCAGCTGTGTCTTGTGAGCTGTCTCAGCACCCCGTGGCTGGAATGTGCAGGGGTTGCAGACAGGGTGTTATTTCATGGGACCCTTATTTTCATTTTGCAGGTTTCTTAACTTGATGAGAATAAAAGCCTTGCTGTCTGTGTTTCCCTCCAGTACATGTAATCTGCTCTCCCCTCACCTCCATCCTGCTGCACGTCCTTTGGAAATCAGGGAGTGAGCAATTAACTGCAGGACTTGAACCCACACAAACCTGCACTTTGTAAGCTGAGTGCTCATCCTCTGTTTCTGTCTTGGTTTTGTTCTGACTAGAACGATTTTAAGCTGTTGCAGCTGTTTGTTTGGGAGTTTTTTCTAACAAGACTAAAAAAAATGGAGTTTGAATTTTTTTCTTTTTTAAATACCTTGGAAGAGACTAGGAAATTACTTTGCATGTGAGTGTGTAAGCCTTAACATGGCTGCTGGCTTATTCTTTTTTTTTTCTTTTATCTTCTCTTGTTATCCCTAGCTTCAGCTTTGGCCATAGTCATAAGAATCTATTTACATATGTGAACAAAGTAAGGTTTAAAGCCATTTTTTTGGAACTCCTAAAAGTATACTTTGATCTGTCATGGAAAACTGTTGGCCGTGGTTGAAGGTGATTGCACCAGGATCAGGCACAGAGTGTCCGAGCAAGAAACTGAGGAGAGATAAGAGAAGAGGGGTGTGCCCTTGGGTACTGCCATGCAGATGGCTTTGTCAGGCCTGTGACAAAAGGTTTTGGGGATTGCTTGTGAGGATGAGCATGAGGAGGTGAGGAACACTTAAGCTGGTGGATGGAAAAGTCAAATAGGCTCCTGCACCTGGGGTGCTGGGAGATGGAGAAATTGGGAAATTAGGGGAGGGTTTTGGCAGAGAGTGAGGAAGGAAACTTCAGGATTGCCAAAAAAAACCTTTCAACAAACAATCAAGAAAACAACAAAAAGCAATACAAAAAACCAACCCCAGCTATCCCTGCACTGGTACTTCAGCATAGGCAGACAGTACTCTTCTTTATGTACATTTTCTCTGTGTCCATTCCTTGCACTAACTCTCACTTTTCCTCAGGTCTTGTGTTGGATATTGCAGTATATTCCCAGCACATCACCTTCTGTAACCTTTTGGAGCCTGTGAAGGACTTTACGTATAATTTTAGTGTTAGTTGAAAAGTGTGGCAAGGTTGGAGGGGGGATTTTTAATTTTAAGTGCTGGTATGACTTCCCCCAAAGTCACCTTTCCATATTAATTCTTATTATTCTATTTATTTACTATTTTATTTTAAGAAGGGAAGATTTTTGTGCTGCTAAATATTTCTTGTCTGTGAATTAGATACTATTCTTTATTATACAGCTGTAATGCCAGAATCATGATGTTAGAGGTAATTGCATCCTGACTCAGCCTAGTGGAACTACGTGCTGAGCCTGTTGCTTTGTTTTCAACTCAGTAGGCCTTCTCTTTCCTGAGGCTTTGATCTCTTGCCAAATAACTCTGTTGATATCAAGCTGAGGGGTTTTCCACTGGACATCTATTATAGGGCACACCAAATATTTTCCTCTTTTTTTTTTCTTTGTTGGTTGCGTTTTAACCTCTTTTATCTACTTTTGTCAAAATGTTTAACAAGTGGTAATGAGTGTTCCAGAGCATTCCTTTCTCTGTGATAGTTTCCTTACCTTGCAAATGAATATATTTGTGTACGAGATGGTTACACCCAAGTTCATACAACGAGACTGTGATGCATGTGGAAACCACAAGACCATGAATCCTGTTAGTGTCTCCTTACCTGACTCACTGCCCTGTCAATTTCCATGTTCTCAGGTGCCAGCAATCTCCACAGGTTCCTCAGTCTCTGATTCACTGTTTTGAAGGATAGTCTGAAGTATAGACTAGGTTTTATGCTCCAGTGAATGCTTGTGGTTAAAGCTGATGTACTGTTTCCATGAGGTTTTTAAGAGATAGGCACAATACAATTAACATGTATAACAATTTAGTTACCTTAGTCTAAGTGGCTTTGCCCCTGTCTTTACAGAAAAGCACCTGGCGGAGCTCAGCAGTGCCCAGGAGCGATGGTCCCTTCCTCGGACTGGAGCTTCTCTAAGTGATAGTTTTCCCTCAGTGATAGTTTTCCCTTAGCTGTCTTTGTGTCAGTAGATAGATGGGGCAATGTGCATGATTTATGTGAGTGCTTTAGCATGAAGTTTTTGGTATGGCTTTTTGAAAAGATTGTGTCTTTTTGTACACTGTAGCTTTCTCATGACCTAACGCGTTTAAAGGAGCATTATGAAAAAAAGATGAAAGATTTGATGTCAAACACTGTGGGAGCAGTAGAGATTCAGCAACTAAGGCAAAAACATGAGCTGAAGGTAGTGTAGTTGATTTTTGTAACTACCTACATTTAAATAATTGCTTTTGCAACACAGACAATGTTGTCTTTTATTAATAACTTGAAAAAGTAGATATTAATTTGTATGAAATGTATTCTGAATGTGCTGAATTTTTATTGTGCAGTCTTAAGTTAAAGACTGAAATATTGATATCCTCTTAAAAATACTTGGTCAAGGACCTTTTCTCATGCTTACTTTTATTGTTAATAGTCTCAGAAAATGACATAGGGCATTGTCTTTCCCTGATGACTGATGCCCTTATCCCAGGGTGTGAGCCAGGTGTACAACCCTAGTGTCTCTCCGTGACCTTGGCTCCATGGGGCTAACCTAGTCCTAGCTCTGCAGCCACACAGGATCCAACTGGGAATCTCCCTGCTCTCCATTCTGAATGGAACCAGTATGGAAAGACTGGGCTTTTGCGAAAAGCTTCAGTCTCAAACCCAGAAACTGCCTGATTGCAGAAAGGCAGCTTTGTTTGTGTTCTGACAGTAGTGAGGATTTTTTGTTGTACTGACATTTTGGGAAAGAAGTACAAAGCAGGGTACTTTAATAAATATTTTCCAGCAAAGCAAAATTCTTTGGAATTTTTTTTTTTTGTTCCGTGTAATATCACTTGACTGTAGTAGTGTACTGTAAGATTATGGAATTCTTATTAAATCAATGTATTTCTTCAATGAATGAAGTTATTAGTTGTAACTTTTTCCTTCATAACAGTGTTTGTTTAAGAATATAGTTAATATATAACTGAGTCTAGGGGATTATCTTTAGGTCAGAAATACTTTGGAAGAGTTATTTGGACAGTGAAAGATGGACAAGACCTCTGGCTGTTAATGACCTGTGAGTAGTAGGTATTTGTTCCGTAAGATAACATTTGAGACTATTCAAAGTTTTCTTGAATGCAGAAGGGTTCTTAAGCATTTCCACTCTTTTAAACTTGCATGCAGTATTTCCATGAAGTAAGTCCTTGTCTCGAATTTCTATTTTATTTTGAAATACAGGAGCTTGGCTCTGAGCTTTCATGGTTCTCTCTACTTATTATATATTCGTTTGACTTCGAAAATATTTATAGCCTAAAAGTGTGCAGGCTCAGATGCTTTCCTATTATTCACTGAACATGTAGACTATATTTTTATCTTGCAGATGCAAAAGCTTATGAGAGCTGCTAGAGAAGGTACCAAAGATGGACTTGAAAAGACAAAAGCAGCTGTGAAGAAGGGTCGTTCCTTCATTCGGACAAAATCTTTCATTTCTCAAGGTATGTGCTATTTACAGTATTTCTCTTTGTTACCTTGTCTAGTAATTTCTGAGAAAAAAGATGAATGGCCTGGCAAATTTTTGTAGTGGGTGGTGAGAGCTACATGCAAGAAATCAGATATATATCAAAAATGTATGATGTAATATTCAGTTCAGATGACAGTATGGTCATCTTGAGCAGTATTTCTGTTTGGGGCAAGAACCTGAGTGACCTGAGAAACCTGAGGACCACAGAGAAGGTTGAACTTAAGAACAATAACAAAAAGTCCCACCAAGCAGTGTGATCTAGGTACTGGTAGATGGGAGTATGGAAGTGATGTTAAGTTACTGCTGTGGTGTGACCCCAGCCAGCAGCCAAGCCCCACACAGCCACTTGCTCACTCCCTACCACCAGGACTGGGAAGAGAAATAAGAAGGGTAAGAGTGAGAACTTGTGGGTTGAGATAAAGACAGTGTAATAGTGAACATAAAAGACATACACAAGCAAAGAAAGGCAAGGAACTAGTTCACTGCTTCCCAAGGGCAGGCAGGTGCTTATCCATCTCCAGGAGAGAAGGGCCTCATTACACACAGTGCTTACTTGGAACACAAACACCATCACTCTGAACGTCCCCTCCCCTTATTCTTCTTTCCTCCCACTTTGTATATGGAGCAGGATGTCATATGGTCTGGAATATCCTTTTAGTCAATTTGGGTGACCTGTCCTGGCTGTGTCTCCTCCCAACCGTCATGTACCCTCACCAGCATGGCAGTATGTAAAGCAGAAAAGGCCTCTGCTCTGTGTAAACTCTGTTCAGCAAAAAAACCCCCATCTCTACATTATCAATCCTGTGTCCAAATCCAAAATGTAGCTCCATAGTAGCCACTGTGAAGAAAATTAATTCTACCTCTGTCAAAATCAGCACAGTTACTAAATCTGTCCAGGTCTCTCCATCAAATAACTCTTGAATGTGAGGAGAATGTGCTGTTAAGACATGTCTTTCAGTGGGGAAGTAGTTGACTATTTTAAAAAGTTCATCACTGGTAAGGAGTAATGCTTTCCATACTTAAGAGTGAGTGAAAATAGGGGAAAAGACTGTACTGCTTAATCAGTTTGATGATTTTTCATGAAAGCTGAATTTGGGTTGGGAAAACAGAAAGTGATGTAAAATGAAGAAGCCACAGAAGTATTTGTGTTCTTTCTGTAGTTGAGAGCAAGTGACAGTCCTTTGTCATGAGCCATGGCAGCAGCTGTCCACAGGTAATTTTTTCAAGAGACAGGTGGTAAATTAAGCTAGTTTCTTTTTCAGGATAAGTCTGAGAGATAGTGTATCTTTCTGCTCAAGTGTCTGCCCAACTAATTAAATGGAAGTAACTTCAGAGCTTATATGTACAATTTTAGGAAGTTAAAACCATAAGGCTGGAACAAAATATTTTTATTGAGAGAGGTAACGTAAAGTTGCTGTATGGGCCAGGACACATCTTACATCTGTAATGAGCTCTGGCTGCTTCTCAATTTACTTAATTCTCAGCTTGAATATAAAAAGGTACACAAAATGAAGTGATCAAAAAGTGTATCCTCAACTTTTTGCAGTAGAACAGATGAAAATGGTCTGCAGGGCAGTGTTAAAATGGACCTGGCATTCCTTCTTACATTTCTAGAGATTAGGTTGCAGACCCAGTGTATCTGTGGATGGCTGAATCTCATAACCACTTTCCAAGTCAGCAGGGAGCTAGTAAAAAATTTGTTAACTAAACTCACAAGTTTCTCCCAGCCATCAGATCTGTTTCCCCGATTTCTCTTTTTGTTCTAAGACAGTTGCTCATACTGTTCTTTCTTTGTCTCCTTTCCTCGGGTCTGCTTGTTTGGCTGGCTATGTACTGCCACCTATCAGTGTACTTCGGTGATGCTTTTTCAGTAAAACTTTTACCCACAGAGCAATGCAGAGTCCCTCACTCCTTTATGATGAAAACAAACATTTTGGTTAATTTGGCTACTTTAGTTCAGCTATAGAATGGTGTATGGAATTTTTTTGGCTGGATATGGGTGTTTTCAGTTTCTTCCCAGGGATCATTTATTTTTAAACTGCTGTCCCTGGGGCTGTAGTGCTTTAGCCCAAGTTGTCATGTCCTGCCTTGTGGACAGCCCCATTCTCCTGGCTGAGAGGAGGGGGTAGTGGTCAACCAAAAGATGCTTAGGTTGTCTGCAGCTGTGGGATGTTAGGATGTATTTGAAAGGTGTTCTGTGTTAGAGTACCTATTGGTGGTAGCATTTATGTGATTTCCCAGGTGATACAGAAGTATTGGGAAATGTCTTTTCTTTGGTAAGTGAAAATTCCTTATTTCTGTGCTCGGATGATAGAGTCTTTGCTTTTTTGGTTTTGTTTTGCTTTTTTCTTCTTTCAATCCACATGTAGAAGCTGACATTTGGTTATTTATTTGTAGATCATAGATCATCTTGTCTGGAAGAAGAAGAGCTAAATTTATTTATTGATGTGGACTGTATGCATACAGAAGCAATTATGACTCCTATGCCTGAAGGATTATCACAGCAGCAGGTAGTAAGCTTTGGGAAGTATGGTCTTCTTTTTTTTCTCCCCTTCAGCTCTGCACCAGTGGCTCTTAGGTGTCTTTGATCTTCAGACATACTGGCATTTTAATTAAATAGACATCAAATTCAGAACTGAATAAGTAGTTTTTTGAAAATTTGTGTATGTGCATATAGTTGCATCAGTCCTGAATTTACCCAGAGGTACAAAATAGTTTGCATTATAAAATTATCTATAAGAACTATATTGTTTCACTACCTGAACAGTTAAACTAAATGTGATGGTTTTGAATGAAAAAATGAGAGAGTTAAAGCATTTTTATTGAAACAGAAAACCTTGTTCCAGGTGCTCTGGGATTTTTATTTTAAATGTAGACAATATCCTTTATGCTCTTTGAATCCAGAAATTTTTCTTGGTTAAAAAAAAATCATCTCCAGTAAAGTCAAGTATACAGAAGAATTAATTTTGCTGTTTTCCACCTCAAACTGTATAGTCACTGTGGAAATAATTTCAAAAAATACTGAAATCAGCATCAGTTAAGAAATTTTGGCTGAAAATAAATCCCTTGGGTTCATGTTACTGTATTGTTATGACAGCTAATAACTATATGAGAGTTTTTTAACTTGTGGTGTCAAATCATGAGTTAGTTGGTCAGTACTTTAAGAAAATGAGCAAAAAACCAAACTAAGGGGCAGTTGAGGAGAAGGTCATATATTTTTGGGATTTTGTTTTGTTTTGCCTTTTACTTCTCTTGTGTTTAACACATTGAAGTGCTAATCTTGTAACAAAGCAACTATCAAACTGTGTTCCATTACTGTAAGATTTTATTATCATGTGAGATTTCAGCATCAGTCTGAATGTTCTTTCCTTCTTTCCAAATAGGAATTTGAGTTTCTAGGATACAAAACTAGGGCAGTTTTGTGCAAAAAAGTTTACCCTCTTTTGCAGAAAAAATCCAGAGTGCTTGTAGTTTGGAGCAAACTGGTAATAGTTGTGTAAGTCAGGACAAATATTGCTCATCTGCCCAGGAGGAGCTGTCCAAGTGGGCAGGAAGGGAGTTAGGAAAGATGAAGCTCAGTTGGAGCTAGTGAGGTGTGAGAAGCAGCTGTGAAGAGCTTCTGACATGTACATTGGCAACAAAAGGAGGCTGAGAAGACCACAAGACACTGCTTGGTGGAGCATGGACCTAGTGATAAAGGGTCAAAACTGTGTCACCTTTGCCTTGGGTTTTACTGGTGAGGTCTGCTGGGGTGAAGCCTAATCTGCAGCTGGGGAAGCTGAGGCCATTTGAACATACAGGTGTCTGTGGGACCAGATGGGATGGAAATAAGGATGCTGTGGGTAAGGCCTTTCGCAATCATCTAAGACCAGAAGATCAGTCATCTAAGACCAGAAGACTGGGAAAAAGTGTCACGCTCTTACCCACAAAAAGGAGAATTGAGTCTGGCCTCACCTCAGTCCCAACAAAAGTGATGGAGCACATGCTCTTGGGAGCTATGTCTGCGTTCAGTATGACAGGAGGGTGAGTGGGGAAAAATCAGCATAGATGGACCAGAGTCCATTTGTGCATGATCAGCTTGAGCCTCTTTGAGGTGACTGAGGGGATGGGTGATTGTGGTGACTTTAAGGGCAGAGGGGGGCAAAGTGTGTCACTTGCCTCTGCCTTAACAGAGCTTTCAGCTGTCTCCTGAAGTATTCCTGTACTCCTGTAGGTGAGATACAGTCTGTATGGGTGGACTAAAAGGTGGGTGGGGGACAGGTGAGGACGCCACACTCAGTGAGTCCATGGTACGAAGTGCAGCGCGCGGTCAGCGTTAGCGCTGTCCCCCGGGAGCAGGCACGGGCCTCTGGCCTTTAAAGCCGGTGTGAGTAATCTGGATGCCAGCTGCAGAGCACAGCTGGAGGTGACGCCAAACTGGAGGGCGCAGCAGCTGTGTGGGGGAGGATGGCTGCTGGGCAGCAGGGCTCTCGTGGGCTGGGTGCACAGAAACTCCGGAGCAGTTCAGGGGGGCCAGCATAGCCTGGCTTTGGGAAGGGGTCACAGCCCTGGGTCCCCTTCCAGGCCAGGGTCCCCTTCCAGGCCAGCTGCCCTGTCACAGCAGAGCTGCTCTGTGGACATGCTGGCTTCAAACAGCAGGTGGCATGATGGCTTCTGTTTAAGTTCTGGTGCCTGCAAGTACTGAGGCCAGGGCTCATATCTACTGCAGTAACCTGAAGCCACTACTAAGTATTCTTTTTGTGTATTATAGAGCCTGAAATTTTCATTTCTAAACATGTTTATTCTTTTCAGAAGAATGAACTGTGACTAAAAGTAGGATTATTATTATTCATCAGAGCCACTGATCTGCTATACCAAATAAGACACTGATAAATCCATTCTAAACACAGATTAGACACAACTAATTTTACTGTATATATCTTAAGCAAAGCCTCAGATAATTTTGAAGTCCTCCTTTGAAATTCCAGCACCTGAGAGAAAATTCCCACACAACCTGCATTTAATAATGCAAAATACAAGTGTGGAAAACTTAAAGGCAGTGATGGTGGACGAGGCAGGGGGCTGTGGGTTCTGGAGCAGAAAGAAGCAAGCCTGAGATTTGAGCTTCATGGTCGTTTAGGCTAGCTTAAAATAGCAAAATGAGCAGTTTTTCCTTCTCCTGTATTTATGGAAAGTGGTTTGATCCTACCCCTGTGCTGTCTTCTCCTTCACAGTCCCCATTTGAAACTCTAGAGTGAGCTGGATTAGGAAATGGATTTGGGTGAAAACAAATCCTTATAACCAGCAAGAAATCTAATTGATGACGAGAAGCTTAAGTTCTAAACCACACTGTTTCTCCAGTCCTTCCTGTCCTGCCACCTGCATGTCCACACAAAGTACATTTCAACTGAAGTAGAAGGTAGAGAAGAAGGTGTAATAAATAGCCTGTAATTTAGCATGAAATATGGTAGCTTGTCCTGAAGGTCTTACAACTCTGTCAATGCATATAAATGTAGATAACTTGGGGGTCTTCACTTATGCGTGGTAATGCCCAACAGAGAATGCTGACTTGGATACTTTCTCAGTTTATATGGCCTTAACTTTAAAAGATAGTATTTGCTTGTTTGCCCTTCACGTTGCTCCTAATGAATTTATAAAACCTACTAAAAATAAAATTTAGGACTGTTTTTGAAAAAATTGTTTCCTGTTTTGTTGTAACAAATCACTGAAGTAATCAACATTATCTTATACCTATGATTGTTTCCATTAATGCCTACATATATACATATCAGTTACATAGGATTATAGAATATCCTGATTTGGAAGATCAGCAGGATCATTGAAGCCCAGCTCCTGGCCCTGCACAGGACAGCCCCAAAAATTGCACCACGTGCCTGAGAAGCATTGTTAAATGCCAAAGTCAAAACACAAGTTTCAAAAGTTAAGTTTGTACGTACAACAGTCAGAAAATAATACAGATATCGCTACAATAATTGTTGTGTTCTTTAAAGTAAGTAGTTTTAGTGTAATAGTAAATTAAATTACTTTTGAAAAGGTACAGTATTTTTTTATTGCAGTTCCAGTATTGAAATTGCTTTGTATTTCTTTTGTTTTATTAATGTTATATTATTGTTTTATTAATGTGAGAATTTTATCATCATAATTTCCAACTATAATGAATGTGTTACTTGATTAGAGCTTTGGATAAAACTTTGTTGTTTCAACAGGTTGTGAGAAGGTATATTTTGGGCTCTGTAGTTGACAGTGAGAAGAATTACGTGGATGCCCTCAAAAGAATCCTGGAGGTACCTTCATATCTTTTGCATTTTAAAATTTTGAATATTTGAGAAAGAATCATTAAATATCATTAAAGAATCTATCCTATGAGTAACACAGATTTTGCTACAGATGCTTCATGCCAAATGCTCAGTGATTTTTTGTGTGTGCACTGTTGCATAAGTTTGTTTTTCAGCTTATAGAAGTCCATTTTTTTGTTTGTTTAAATCAATTCGCTTTGTTGTTTTTTTTTCCCACAGCAATATGAGAAGCCCCTTTCAGATATGGAACCAAAATTACTGAGTGAAAGAAAACTTAAAATGGTCTTTTATCGAATTAAGGAAATTCTGCAGTGCCATTCAATGTTTCAGATTGCTCTGGCGAGTCGTGTATCTGAGTGGGACTCTGTTGAAATGATCGGTGATGTCTTTGTTGCTTCAGTAAGCAAACGTGTCAGAACAGATAATCTGTTTTTATTTTAGTCTTGTTTTTCCATCTCCATATCTTTCTAACTTGGTTGCTTTATTCCCATGTTCTCCAATGCCTGTGGCAACTGTCAGAGTATTCATGTGCAATCCTGATAAGGAAACTGACACCAACACATGTCTTCAGCTTGGTTGGCAGATGTGAAGGGATTGTCAGAAAAGTTTTCAGGCTTTGATTAATCTTTCAGGCATCTGAGTAAAGAATTTATTTTTATGAGAAATTAGAGATTCACAAACCCACCAAAATTAAGCTGGGACTGAGGCTCGGAATCTCATAAAAAATGGGTAGTCATTCCTAGTAGTGTGCAAGTAGAAGGAAACCACAGTAGGTAATGTCCTGAATTCCTGAGTTTGGACTGAGAGGGGGCACTGATAAAGAGTATTTGTAAAACCCTGTCCCATCATTAACAGAAGTCCATTCAGTAAAGGACAGAATTAGCTACTGCTTTAAATTACCAAGAAGGCAATGGGTGGTGATTTTACTACTCCCATGACTGTTTGCAGGCCACACAATCTGTCTGCTTTTTTGGTAAGTCCTTAATAGCTGAAGTCAGAGTGTGAAGGCCCTGGGACTTTGCTGATTTATTTAATCTGGAAGACAGGTAGTGAAATGATCAGGGGATCTCAGTTGTCAGTTTGAATCTCAGGGGGCCCTTTGATTGCCCATAGTCCTCAGGTTCTGCCCCAGTGTTCTAGGCAAGATAAAACAATTTCTGTAAATACATTTCGTGCCATTCACAGCTGTTACATCTTTCTGTTTCCAGCCTGTCTTCTGCAGAAAGATTATTTTGGGTATTACCAGTATTTCTGTATATCCAGTACTAGGCCAAGCAAAGCCTTTAGTTCTGAGCGAGTCCCCAACAGCCAGAGATCTATATAGCTGTGCTGGCAGAGGTCTTTTGTACTTTTAGTTAAGATTTGCATTTTTTCTTTTCAGTTTTCTAAATCTATGGTATTGGATGCATACAGTGAATATGTAAACAACTTCAGTACAGCCGTTGGGATTCTCAAGAAATCTTGTGCCACCAAACCTGCCTTTTTAGACTTCTTAAAGGTTAGTTCATTCTTAAAATAGTAGTGCATATGCAGTATGCATATGCAAATTTGACTGCTGATACTGTATATTGTCTCACTGTTTTTATGGACTTAAGGTCCTTTTTATGGATTTGGCACAAACAGACCCCAGAGAATGCCCTTCCAGTACTGTATTTTTGGCATAGTAACATGCTGTTAGATGTGGGATGTGTTTTGAAGTATGCTGTAGTTTTATTGTTATTCAAACCAGTTTATTGGTATTTGCTTTACTTTATCTGTCTAAACATTAGGATTCTTCCATATCAGCTGAGCTTCAAATAGTTCATCATATGAAACCATTTTGCAATTTGAAATTTATTTTAATTCTATTTTATGTATTGTGTTGTGAGAAGTAGTGCAGCTGGATTTCCATTCCACAACAGTTTGGCTGGAGATCGTGTTTCTGGCTTGGGGTTGAAACTGGTTGATTTTTTTGCAGAATGCATTCTGCCCTGTTGCATATGATGCTTGTCATGCATGATATGTATGGACAGCCTGGTACAGCAGTAGAAGTGCTGTGAATCCCTAGGGTTGACACCTTAGAGACAGTACACAGAATCCATTGCAAGGCTTTTGGGTTGTCTGTGACATTGCTGAGAGTCTGAGAGCTCAGCTTGTCTCATTCCCCAGGCATCCTGGATTGAGTTGTACTTCTCAGAGCTGGTCACCCTGTCAGGTCTGTTACAGTAGTCCACAAAACAGTAAAAACTGGGTGCCTAGTGCAACTCTCAGGTTTTCTAGAGAAGGGTTGCAGAGGTTTGCCTTCAGATCTTAAATTAACTAACAACTTTTTAGAGTGTGGACAGCTCTGTGCAGGATGATATTTTGGAAGCCTCAAGCATCTTGAAGATGGCACTCTAGTGAGCATGTAGTCACAGGTTAAACATGTTCTCCTGTTAAAAGCATGTTTTTCTAATAGAGACATAATCCACACTTCGGATCACTGCTTGTCAGGGCCACACTGGTTCTGCTTGCAGAAACACAGACAAACTCCGATGACAGATGACACTTCATTACCTTTACTTTTTTATTTTTGCCCACCAGCAATGAAGATCAAAGTCTCCACTACTGCTGTTTGGAAAAAAATAGATGTTTGTATAGATAACTATGGAAATAAATTGTTGTGAAGTTGATAGTTGTAGCAATAAATAAATAGCAATTTAAGCACAAAACCAGTTTAACATCATTTAAAATTGCTTTGTTTTTAATATTGAGTATATCCTCTAGCCTTCCTTTTTCCAGCCATTTCTGGCTTTTTTGCACATGCAAAAGAAATTTGTCTGGTTTTATCTGCCATTCGTGATAACTAAAATAATGAATTCTAACCTTTTTATTTCCAAATATAAATCAACATTTTTTCCTTTGTTTCTTCTAATAAAGAAGACCAAAATCTCTGTTTGCATAGCACTGAGATTATGACGTTTTTCTTAGATTTCCTCTTAAAAACCATAGGTAGGTTTTAGATTTATAGATGCTGCATTGCTTGTGTGGCTTTGGCCCAGCTGTATTTATTTAAGAGGATATTTCAGTTCAGTGGCAGACCATCATTTTGATATTGACAGGTTTTTCTAAAAGATTTAATATTTTTTAATTAAATCTTGATAGTAAGTGGAATCCGTAGTCTTCTTTTTAAAATTAATGTAAGCAGTATAGAAGAATTTTTAGGAAATGTTTTCCTTTCATTCTGTAACTGGTGGAAATGTGCTCATGGTAGTAAATGTGGCTTTCTTGCATTACAGCAATGTCAGGATTCAAGCCCTGATCGCATTACACTGTATGGTTTAATGATGAAACCTATCCAACGTTTTCCACAGTTCATTCTGCTATTGCAGGTAAATAATGTTTATCAAAGGGGGGCTGCTTTTGCATTCTTGCATAGTTTCCCCTTGGGATTACAAGGTAGCTGTCTTCTGCTATAGGATCATTTTGCAGTGGAAGTGACCACTAGATCATGGGGAAATAAAGAGAAAATTTCAGTGCATTAAACATGCTTATCTCATAGTCTGATTGCAGGGACAGGTAGTAAGGGCACTGCAGGAAAGCCTTAATAAACTAGATTTACTATAGATTACTTTCTAAGTAAAATATAGCTTATAAATTGTTTTCTAATAAAGGTGTAGTTCAAATATGCTACTTGTTTATATCTGTTAGCTAGTAACACTTCAAAACATGACTGGGAACTTAGTGGCATTATTTCCATTGAAGAAAAAACCGAGAGGATTAAATTCATACCTTGGATAGTTTAGAATACATGTGAGATGCAGAACAACAGTCCACTCTCTGACCATTGGCTCACAGGACCTGCTAGAGTATGTTGCAGCTTCCTTCTCATCTGCAGTGTCTTGTTTCTTTTCCCATGGAAACTGTGGATTTGACAGGGAGTCCTTGGGTGTCATGTCAAAAGGCAGTCAAGCTGCAGAAGAGCACAATTCCCCAGTATAGACCTGGTCCAGACAAATTTACTGTTTGTACCTCCTTCCACAGCACAGCAGATCCACCCCGTAAGCACCGTGTGTTACCTGTGTTTGCAGGTGCCACAGAGGAGAGCAGGCTTTGGGTTGCAAATCTGGGAGTTACTGGGGGTCAAGGAGCAGAGGTAGTCATGGGGAAAGCATGTGAATCAGAAGCCATGGTGACAGTTTTTGAAATAACAGGAATGATGAAGTTTATTGTGGCAAGAAGACAGAGTGAATATACAGGGATTTTTAAATGCTCTGGGAATGGAGACAAAGTATAATTCCAACTGTTCCTACTGTATGCCTACAAAAAAGAAAGACTTGGAGGAGCTGTTGTGACCTTAATGAAGTAATGTCTCCTACTTTAGGAGGAGTATGCTGGCCATGTTTTAATGAGGAGTAATAAAATAATAACAGTAATAAAGTAATAACAGTAATAAAAGTAATAAAGATAATACAATATTATTATGACAGTAAATATCAGGAAAGTTTCATTTTAAATTGTTTATAGATACATACATATTATAGTATAATAATGATTGCCAGATTGTTTAATATTATCTCCCTTCTCTGTAATTTTATTCTTTAAATAAGAAGGTATGTGATCCCATTCAGTATATTTTTAAAGAATTACTAAGATATTTGGAAAGTTAAGCAATGTGCTGTCTGAATATTCATTAAGTGTTTATTAGTCTTATTCTTTAGTAGTACTCAAGAATGTAGTTGTGACTGTACATTCTGTAATCTTTGGAACCTGACTTTGAAAATAAATCCAATGGGGTTTTTTTGTTTTATAATAACCCCTCAGGATATGTTGAAGAACACTAGTAAAGGACATCCTGACAGATTACCTCTACAGATGGCTCTTACAGAACTTGAGACACTGGCAGAGAAGTTAAATGAAAGGAAAAGGGATGCAGATCAGCGCTGTGAAATAAAACAAATAGCAAAAGCAATGAATGAACGTTACCTGAACAAGGTAAGAAAAGTAGGAAAGTATAATGGAAATGGAGTTTCTGGGCCTTGAGCAATCTCTACAACAGACACCAAAGAGACAGCTATGTTGGTTTTTCCTGTAGAGATCTACCACATGGGGTCATTCTGGATGACCTGCCTCTGGGACTGAGCAGGCTCAGCACTGTGTGCTGGAATAGGCAACACACTGAACTTGCCTCAGCAGTATTGGTGTTCTGAGGCAGTGTAAGAAATAATAATATATAGTAAAATCTCATGTACGTGTTCTGCATGGAAAAATTCAACTTTTAATTTATCCTAGAAGTGGGGAATTACTCCTGTGTAAAGAAAGGGGCCATGTTTCAACTAGCATTCCAAAGCATTTCAAAATGTGCTATGTGAAAAGAACTCTAGAAGATATTCAGTAAGAAGGAAGGAACAATCTGTTTTATGTGAGTTCATTAGTAGCTATCTATACTGTGGATATAGGTTTGTTTGTTTTATTTGTATCATAAATGATTCCTTCTTTCCCATGAAGTGAGGCATAAATGCTTCAATTACTACTTCTGTGAAATTTCAAGTATTATCTTGTGGACTCCTGAGATAAAGTAGTGGGGATGTGTGGAAGGAATGGAGTTGTTTTTGGAGATACAAAAAAGCACATCTTTTAGGAAAGCAATAGAAAACACTTGTTTTAAGCTATTTACCAGGAATGGAATACTGAATTTATTTTCATACTGGAGCAGTATTTCCATTCTAAGTGTGTTAGAAGATGGATTCAGACATTTTACTTTCTTTGTTGTCATAATCCTGCTTCTTGAAGCAGCTATTAATCATCTGCAAATAGTTCCAAGACACAGAATGTGCTTTAGAAGAGGTGGCCCCGGTTACCTTTTGTTAGTTGATATTGATTGCAGGATTTTGTTTTATGCAGTGGGGGACTCATTGATATATACATGGATTGACACTCAAAATCTCACAGGGTCCCACAGGCCTTGTGTGTTAATATCACAGAATCAGCTGAGTTGGAAGGGACACACATGGTTCATAGATTCCAGCTTCACTTTCTGAACAAGACTAGCCCTGAGAGTCACACCAAGTGCCTGGGAATATTGTCCAAATACTTCTTGAACTCTGTCGGGCTTGGGGCTTTGACCACTACCCTGGGGAGCCTGTTTCAGTGCCCAAACACTCTCTGGGTGAAGAATTCTCCCCTCACAAGAACTGTAGACTGCAGTGACATCTCTCCTCAGTCTCCTCCATACTGAACAGACCAAGTGACCTCAGTTACTCCTCATATGGCTGCCCCTCAAGGCCCTTCACCATCCTTGAGGCCCTCCTTTGGACACTCTCTAATAGCTTAATATCCTTCGTACATTGTGTTGCCCAAAACCGCACACAATATTCAGGTGAGGCCAGTGCAGAGCAGAGTGGGATAATCGCCTCACATGCCTGGTGGTAATGATGGACCTGATGCAACCCAGGACATGTTTGGCCCTCCTGGGCCTGTATATTTGCATATACAGTTTTGGAACAATGCCAGCTAGGGTGAAATAGATGATGAAGGAGGTGGTTGATTTGAAAGTTAGAGTTATGGACCATTTTATTCTGTTGGACACTGTGGAGATGCGTTTGACATGTAAGGGATTGGTTCATGCTTGCACACAGTGGCTGATCCTTAGCCCTTGAAGGCAAATGTCAGGAGCAGTTTACATGCCAAGAATCTCTTGGACATGTCACCTTGTCCACAGTCTGTGACTCCCTGCCAGCTGCACTCCTCAGCTGTGTGGGCCCTGGGGGACCGAGCAGGCTGAGCACACTTCCTCCTCACACTCTGGCTTCCACTCTGGGCAGCTGGAATCATGTGTAGCTCTTCAGTTGACTATGAAAGAGGAGGCTTAGGAAGGAAATCACAGAAATTTATTTTGCCAAGAAACCTTTATCAGTGTGGAAGATTCCCAGAGCAACCATGGTCTACATTAAGATGCAAAGCCCTTTAAGTCTGCATGGATGACAGCAGAAGTTACTGTTTCTCTAAATCAAAAGCAGATTAATAAAGAGACCTAATTACCTTGGCAAATCCACCTGCAATCGCTTGTGCTAGGATGGCAATTGATAACTCATTGTTTTTGCTTTTTGTGTGCTGCATGTTGGATGTACTGTGTGTAATATACAATACTGATTGTTTTCAAAATCCAGCTACTCAGCAGCGGAAACAGATACCTCATACGGACTGATGATATGGTTGAGACAGTTTATAATGACAAAGGAGAAATTATCAAAACCAAAGAACGGCGACTTTTCATGTTGAATGATGTGCTGATGTGTGCAACAGTAAATATTCGGTAAGATTGAACTTCTGTTTTTTAGATGATCATTTGAATTTCAGGTGGAAAAAATGACATATTGAATTGCTTTTGTGTTGTTTGGTTTACTGTGGCTAATAGTTTCTAGGATTAGTCATAATAAATGGACAACTAGCTTTGTTATAGTCCTCCAAATTGCTGACCAATATTTGGAAGTTCTAGAGTAAATATGTAAGAAAATTATATCAGTTGGAGATTACAGATAGAAATGCTCTGTAGTGTCTTGTTATTGCTGGGTATTAGTGCTTAGTGGAATACAGCCATGCCCCAAGGTAAGACTTTTTTCTCTTCTTACTTAAATTCAGACTGTAACACACAAAGATTTGTAACAACACAATTTGTAAAGTAAATACCACCCTCTAGAAAGCAAACAACCTCCAACAAACAAACAAACAAAACAAAATCCATACTGGTAATGCAGGTTGCCAGAAAAAATCTGGAACTTGCTAAGAGAGTTCCAGATGGGGAAAGGTTATTATCTCAGGGACCAAGCATTGAAAGATTAAAGGTGAAATGCTTTGAAAAAAACCATTTTTGCATAGTTCCTTCTGTGCTTTTGTTGGCTGTAATTATTACTGTTACTACATAACTGTGTATGCCAAGGTTGTGTTCACATTCATATGTTGCTTGTATCATAAATTGTTTTATGTAGTGGTACATTCTGACAAAGAAAATGTGGATTATTAAAATCTTACAAGAACAGCTTTTCCTAAGCATAATATAAGTTGATATCTTAATTCATTACTGAAGTATGAATCCTGTGAACATATTTCTGAGTGTGTGATTGCTTGGTCTCATGTCCATGTGAGTGAAAAGTGCCATGTAATAGCTACACTTCAGAAAATTAAGAAGCTCATGTCAATTTTCCTTTGGTCCTTGCCTTTACAAATTCTTTACTTTCTTAGTAATACTTGAATATTAACTATTAATATTTTATCTTCTTTCATACCAGTAAAGTCTTGGATTTTCTGTATTTGTACTTGAATCAGCAAAGTGCAGTCTGTTTTTGTTTTCTATGTTAAAAGGTCATGATCATGCCAAGTCTCTGACCCTCTGAGGGATATGCCCTCTTTAAAAGTATGTATCTTTTGCAAGCCATAGAAAATTCCTCTGTAACTAGTGGAGCCTAGGTAACTGGGATGTTTGAGTGTTCCTGGTTTGCAAAAGATAGATATTTTTACAGGTGACACGACCCTCAGGTCTCTCTTTGCACACAGTGCAGATGAGCAGCAGGAGCTGGTAGCCTGACTCTGAAGTAACAGCAGTTGGATGGGGTGGATGCTATCCCTAGTGACTGAACAACTGTGTCCTGCCTGGGTTTTATTTTTTTTTTTTTAATTCTGAGCTAGGTCAAGAATTTATAAATATTTGCTTAAGTTGTGGCAGTTGCCTTCTTTGTTCATGCTTGCTTCCTCATTGAAACAAAAGTCTGTGTTGCAGATAGGTAGCTGACTTGCTGAATTTCACCATTTAGTTACTGTTCTCAATAAATGCATTTTGCTGATTTCTCTCAGGCAGTTGACTTCTGGATTTCAGTCATTTTTTGTGTGAAGTAAACGTTTTTTGTTCACTTTAACATCTCTTTTGTCCTTTATAATAAATGTTTGTTACATGTTCTTGAATGGGAATAAGGGAATGAAGGAAACAAAGTAAAATTAATACTGATGTCATTTCTATTCCTAATGAGCTTTCTCAGCGTGCTCTTTCCTCTGAAATGCCTGTTGTGTTACACACTTCTTAAGCAGCAGCTCAGGCAGGATTACTCTTGGAAGTTGCAGCAGTTGCAGAGGTCTGCTATATAGAACGGTCTGGGCTGGTGGCTTGGCAGAAATGTTGGCTTGCCAGCCCTTCAGTTGTCCTTCCTGTTGCCAGCAGTCTTTCAAAGGTTCCATCATCCCTACTTCCCTAAACATGGCAGTTAGGGCCCAAAAAGAAGTGTTTCCAAAAAAATCAGGAAAATGTGGAGCCAAAGTATAATCCCAAGCACTTGTATTAGGATTTCTGAATGCACATTGATCTTAAAAGATGGTCATTTATGTTTTGCTATAGAAATGTAAGGACTGTTGTTAGCAGTCCTGTGGTGCTTGCAGACAAGATTATCTGCACCTGCATGGCTGCTCTTTGCATGCCAGGAAAGATCAGTCACAAAAGTCAGCCTGATGCATGTATTTCTTTCAAGTTGTGCACTGTACTCCAGCTGATAAACAGCAGATTTTAGAAAACACCATTGCTTGTCACAGCAATAATTTGTGCATCTTCCAGTTCTTCCTATGAAAGCAGTGGCACCGTGACAACTGGCCAGAGGTATTTACTGAAGTGGAGCGTACCGCTGGGACAAGTGGATGTCATAGAGTATGGCAGCAGTGAGGGCCAAGGAGACAACTGCAGGTTCCCACCCCAGCTCCCTGCTGAAAATGTCATCATTAACTCTAAGCCAAGTAAGTGACAGGAGTTACTGACTTTTACAGACTACTTTGTTAAAATCCATATTTGAAATTCAATGGGCTACTGAAAACAAAGGGAAGCATTTTGTCTGTGAAGATTTCTGTAACATGAAGAGTAGTAAAGCCTCTTTCTTTGGAAACTTGAGAATGCATAAAGTGACAGCCAGGCTCCTGCCTTGCGACATGAATTACTTGTATTTGTTGTAGTTTAGAATTTTATGCATGAATGAGTAGAGTTCTAAAGCATTAGAGTGTGCAGACGTGCAAAAATGTGGGTTTGATGTGGTGCACCAGTGGTCTCGTGGTCGCTGGTTCTGCCTTTGTTCTTTATCCCATAGTTAGAGCAAAGTTTTTCTCAATAAAGAGCACCAAGCCACCCTGTTGCTGTGATTAAGGGTCTGGACACAAGTGATTACTGCAGGGTAGACTTTACTCACTTTTCTCAAGCCAATGATATCTTGCCCTTCAAATTTGTGCTTCAGAAAAAACCTTAATGAATGTTTTTGAAACAATATGTTGATAGGTAATTTCCTCCTAGCCTCTCTCCAAAAATGACCTCAAGCTCTGAAGTTTACAAATTCTTCTGTGCTAGTTAATCCTCCCTACAAATCTGCCAACTGCTTTCAAGAGAAATATGAATTTTAAGACTTTACTTGTTAGCTAGACTTTCATACATAAGGAGTTATTTTTATATCCTGTTTATTGCCTAAATAGTGTAATATTAAATGCATTCAATATCTCTAGATTTTAATTTGATTCCTAGTAATGGATTATAATTCACATGCATTTCAGTGTTAGTAGCTCCAGGCATTATTTCACACTACATTTATTTAATATTGCACCCTTGGTTTAATGAATTTTCCCACAGTTGTGCTATAAGGAGGCATAAATGCTACAGCATCAGTGTAGCATTTACTAGCCCCTGTATTCTTTCTCCAGGATGGTTTTTGTCTGGTCTTCTTGCTCCTCCTTTTGTAAATAGCTACAGAAAAATTTATGGGCACTTATGTCTTTATTTCAAGGATGACTTAATTCTTGTAACTCCTTTTAAGCAATAAGGGACTACTTAGAGAATGAGATTAAAGCCTTTATCTTATAATTTACCAGCTGCTGTATGCATAACCCTGAAAGAACTATATCAAGAAGACTATTTCTTAGAATTGGAGGTCCCTTTTGTAGGTGAGTGTGGGAGGAACAGATTGTTGAATATTCCTACTATGATTTTGTGCAACACTTTCACAGCGGATAAGACCAAATCCTTGCATGTCAGCATGGTCATATGGGGAAGAAAAGCATGAGGCAGAAACAAAAACGCCTGACCAAACAGTCATGTAGAACTTACTTGAACCTCTAGGCTTTTGAGGTTTTTCAACTTCATCGTGATTGGTGACAAAATCACACAAAAAAAGAAATTACTTTGTACATAATTTGTAAATCAACCTTCAGGTTACCTGTAGGTAAAATGTGAGCTGAATTAATTTTTCTCTTGGTAAGCTCTATTATATTAATTCAGTCTTCTAATAAAAAGGATCAAAAGATAAGAAATAAATACAAAGGATTTGAAGGATACTGGGTATACTGAAAAAATCTTCCCTCTGGTTTAATCAAACTTTCCTGGCAAATGATCCAAGTAAATTGAATATAAACAATCATGAAGGAAGAACATCATAGCCTTGTTTTTGCACATACTACTGTGTTTGCACTAGCTGTTACTCTGAATGCAGAGTTGTTTGAACTGGCCTTTATAGACAAGTTTGAATACTCACCTAATTGTGTTAGTTATTCTGTAGAGTTGCCTTCTTAGTTCCAGTTTAAGTTGGCTGTTAAAGATTACAGAAGCTCAGAAAGTACAGCCTTCCTGCAGAGGGACAGACTGGTAAGACTGTGTACTGGTTCAGTGTGGCTTCTTATTTGCACCCACCAAGTTGCTGCATTTTATAGTTGATGATGGCATAATCTTTAATATGGTCGTATCACATCCTGGGTGTTTACTACAAGTTGCAAAGTGGTAACAGAGAAATCCTATCTACTCTGCTTGAAATTTCATATCTTTGCAGCCATCATAAAATTATGTCTTCCTCTGTTTTCAAAGTATACTATGAAACTCCAGTGGCGTCATAGTATGTGGTTTTAATAAAATATAGTGATCATGAACAGCTTGGGGTGCTACATGCAAAATCCTGAGACATAAAACCATTTTTCAGACCTGATTTTAAACTTACATATTCAGTTTGTGAGTACTGAAAAGATACAGAATAATGGTGATTCTGTGTAAGTAGTACATTAAGTAGTAGAGGGATTACCTCCTGCATTTCTGGAAGACTGAGAATAGTTGGTTTGTATCTGCCACATGCTAGGTTGAGTACTTGACTCCTGTAAGGTTAGTATTCTGACATTGCTTCAGTGATTAGTGAGGATTCTTGATGGATTCAGGCTGTGTTCTTGTGAGGAGTAATGATTATTAGTTACATTTCCCTTATCATGGCACTTTTTTCTCCACCAAAACCTTTTCTGTGAGGAGGTAGCTGTCACAATTGCATCTTGCCATTTATTATTGACTAAATGCAATTGGTGCTTCCAGTTTTCTATGATGTTGCAAGAAAAAGCAGTATAGTCTAAAGATGCAAACTTTACTTTGGGTGCTGAATTAATAGCTAAATTTGAATGAATCTTGTACAGCCTGTAATATGCAACTGAAAGGTTGAAAGATTTTATGAGTGTGTATAAATCAAAGACATGCTTCAGCACTTTTCTGAGATGAAAGGCAAGGACTGTGTGAACTTGGTTTTCACTTGGCAAAATCATCAATGGGCAGTTTTCTACCCTATTGAGCTTTGTTCAGCAGTCTTTTGTTTCTGGACTCTACACAAGAACATGTTTAAGGGCTGGTTTTTGGTTTTAAGCCATTTGTATTTTGGTAGGAAAAACTGTGTGGCCTGAGGGTGTATGGGGAAAAGCAGGAAAATTTTGAGTGTATTCCGCTAAAGTGCCCTGTCCTTGATGTGCTCTTGCCTTGTTCCTGGTGTTCTCCCCTAGCACCAGCAGCAGACTAAATTCTCATAGTTACGAACATGAAGAGGGATTAAAGTCTTAGCTGTTTGGCAGGGTCCTTTATTTGTACAATTGTAATATTTTTTTTAGTGGAGTGCAATTACAACTTGTGCTTGCTTCCTGCAATCATAACCAGTAAACATTTCACAGTCTCAATCTTCAGGAAAAAACACATTTCTCTCAGCAAATTAGTCAAAGTCCTGTTTCATGTATTAGAGTTCTAGAGTTAGTCCTGTTTGAAAGTCTGTATGGCTCTGTCATCCCAGATGAACAGTTTTTGTGGAAGCAGTTATTTAATTATGTGTGCCAAGAAGTGTGATGTATTAATTTTCTTTGTAGAAGCATTGGCAGAAAGATGTGAGATAGAGTTTTTCCCCTGATAAATCCATGTATTTTTCCTGGTAGGCTGTTGCTGTTCTCTTCAGCCTAGTTAGTCCATGTGCAGAAGCACAGACACAGTCATAGTACAGAAAAGTTGAATTAATATAGGAACAGGGGAATGTTTTCAGTGGAAACAGAAATTTGTATATTCTTGGTTTTGATTTACATGCATTGGTGAGAAATTCACCTCCCTCACCTGGCTGGTGATGCTGTACCCAATGCCTCTCAGGGCACAGTTGGGCCTCCTGGCTGCCAGAGTACTGCTGACTCTCATTCAACTTGCCACTGACAAGGATCCCCAGATTTCTTTCTGTGTGGCTGCTCTCCAGTATCTGTGCTGTCTGTTCATGCATCCAGGAATGCCCTGTCCCATGTGCAGGATCCAGCACTTGCCCTTGTTGAACATCCTATGCTTGGTGATTGCACAGCCCTATAATTTGTCAAGGTTTCTCTGCAGAGTCCCTCTGCCTTCAAGGGAGTTGACAGCTCCTCCCAATTTAGTGTCATTGGTAAAGTTCTTATTATTCCTTGGAGTCATTTATGAAGACATTGAAGAGAACTGAGCCTAAAATGAAGCCCTAGGAAACACCAGTAGTGACAGGTCACCGGTCTGGTGCTACCATCCCATTCATTATAAATAACCCTTTGTGCCTGACCCATAAGCCTGGAAAAGTTCTTATTATTCCTTGGAGACATTTATGAAGACATTGAAGAGAACTGAGCCTAAAATGAAGCCCTAGGAAACACCAGTAGTGACAGGTCACCGGTCTGGTGCTACCATCCCATTCATTGTAAATAACCCTTTGTGCCTGACCCATGAGCCAGTTTCTTGCCCATCACATGATGTGTTTATCCAGCCATGTGCTGGACATTTTGAGGCTTGTGAGATGCCTCAGATCAACAGCTTTACTGAAATCCACAGTTCACATCAACTGGCTTCCCCTGATCAACTACCTTGGCTACTTTTTCATGAAAGGAAATTAAGTTTCTTAAACAGGACTTCATGAACTTGTTCTGTCTGGGGACCAATGACTGTGTTGTCTTTCAGGTGTTTTTCACTAGCAGGACTTCAACTGCATAAACTTGTTCTGGCTGGGACCAATGACTGTGTGTCTTTCAGGTGTTTTTCACTAGCTCCAGAAAAACCCTTGTAACTTTACCAGACACTGAAGTGAGACTGACAGGCATGTAGTTACCACAGTCATTCTTCTTGCCTTGGGACAATGTTTGCCAGGTTCCAGTTGACTGGAACCTCTTCAGATTCCCAATTGGGTTGAACATGTGGAAAGGGGGCATCAAGAAAGTTCAACGCTACCTGTACTTTTATGATAAAAAAAGGATGGATGAAAGCCCAGTGAATACAGCTTGGTTTTAATATGTCATTAATCTAAAATATTATAAATACTTTCCAAAAATATAAATAGTATAGTCAAAGGGAAAAATTATCACTTCTTACCAAAATATTCAGTATTACCCCTCTAGAAGAATCAGAAGATAACATTTCATTGAAATTCATCCATTTATACTTAAAATCACTGCAAATATGTGTATTTCACTGCTTTTTAATTGGGAATATAGGAATGGAAGTCAAATATACCGGCCAGAGTTTCAGTTTCTCAGACTTCAGGCACATGTTATGAGCTTGCAGCACTTCACGCAAGCTGTTGATGGGTTGTGAATTGTGGTTTGTGCTGAGGCAAATGCTGGTTTCGTGCCACAGCAACAGAAACTAGCCCCAGTTGCGTGTTCTTGGGTCCCCAAAAATGAAAAAGTTCAGTGAGAAGTTTCTCACGGGCCTTTTATTTAAGAAGACCAGGCTAGAGAGACTCTGTAGAACCAAAGAGAAAGGGCTAGGCATCCTGCCATGTCTGGGTGGGAAGCCAGTGTCTGACAGCAGAGTTCTGCTCTGATCAGGTTGATTAGAAATAGATAACATAGACAATTACTTAAGCAAAAAAACCCCATCAATTTGATCCATTTGTCTAAAGGCTGAAGGGGGAAATGACCCAGACCCATCTGTACTATATAACCATGCAGTGATGAGCATTGAAGAAACAGGGAAGTCAAAAATCAGGTTAGTATGCTTATGGCTGCATTTTCATGTGTCCTTTTTTTTCTTACAGGTTTACAGTTTGTAACTGAGAGCAAAGCTCAGCCCTGCTAAACCATGGCTGTTCCCCTTTCTCTTTCAGAGTTCTAGGGATACATTTGTACTCTGTTTCCACTTGATTGTCTTCTTGATCTCTGCGGGGTTTGTTTACTCTAAAATATAGTAGTGACATGATGCTGAAGTGCAGAAATTATTCCTCTCTTCCAAGTTCCCTTCTGCTTGATGCAGTCACTTTGTGTAGGCCTCTCAGTGTTGCCAGGGAAACAGGGAAGGATGTTTGATGGGCTAGAGTGTGCACTTGTTTCTGTCAATATCTTGCTCAGTGGAATGGCATCTCTTTTCAAAAATGAAGATAGTGCTGCTGTGATAGCTGTTGCCATTAAAACTAGGTTTTTTTGCAGGTTTGTCTAATGAGAGATACAGAATTGGGGAAGAAAAAAAAAAGTCAGCTTTGTGATCCCTCTAAGGCACAGCAATAGTAATACAATATTGAGAGTAAGCAAAACTAATATTAAGTGACATATCAACTCCAGCACTGGTGATAAGATTTTAGAAAGAAAGAAAGAAAGATGGCATGACTTGCTAATTGAACTAGCTTTCATCTCAATGAAATATATAAAGATTAGTAATGTAAGGC